ACCTTAAAGATCATCCAGTTCCAACCCTGCTGCAATTGGCAGGGAACCTTCCACTAAACCAGTTTAGTCAGAGCTCCATCCAACCTGGACTTGAACACTTCCAGGGATGAGGGGTCCACACTTCTCTGAGCAACCTGTTCCAGTGCTTCACCATCCTTACAGTAAAGAATTTCTTCCTTACTTCTAACCTACACCTACCCTCCTTCAGCTGAAGGCCATTCCTCTTTGTCCTATCACTACATGCCCTTGTGAAAAGCCCTTCTCTAACCTTTTGGAAGGTTTCTATAAGGTGTCCTTGAAGCCTTCTCTTCTCCAGGTTGAACACCCCAGACACTCAGTCTATCTTCAAAGGAGAGCTGCTTCAATCCTGTGACCAATGCAGTTCCCCTCCTCTGGACTCATCCCAGCAGATCAATGCCTTCTATTGTTGGGGGACACAAATCTGGATACAGCAATCCAGGAGAGGTCTCACAAAAGCAGAGAAGAAGGGGAGAATCACCTTCCTTGACCTGCTGGCCACACTGCTTTTGATGGAGCTCAGCATACAGTTGGCTTTTTGGGCCGTGCGTGCACACTGCCAGCCCATGTCCAGCTTTTCATTCAAAACACCTCCAAGTCTTTCTTCCCAGGGCTAACCTTGATCCATTCTTCACCCAGCATGTAATTGTGCTTGGGATTACCCTGCCCCAGGTGCAGGTCTTTGTACACTTGGCTTTGTTGAACTTCATGAGGTTCACACAAGCCCGTCTCTGGCCTTCCCCAACAATGAGAGGATCCTCATTCTCACACTCACTGCTATCACCTTCTGCAGCTTGGATGCTGTGTCTGGAACACTCACTGGTGAGGCAATAAAGTCATGAGTACCTCAACCTTTTCTATGTCCTGGGTAACTAGGTCTCCCACGTCCTTTCTGAGGACCCACAGTTTAATTAGTTTTTCTTTTATTGCTGATGTATATTACCCTTATACACATCCAGATTTACTTCTCCCAGTACTCTAGCATCATTGCTTAGCAGATCCCTGGCTGTTTGAACAATTTCTCTGTATTCCTCTCAGGCTACCTTTTCCCTGTTTTCACCCTCTATAAGCTACCTCTTTGTAGGGATGCATTGTGCTTGAGCCTGAAGGAAAAGGCTTTTCAAGGAAAACCATCCAGCTCTCCTTGGGTCCCTCTTCCCTCCAGGGCTCTATCCTACGGCACTGTACCAAGGAGGCCCTTGAAGAGACCAAAGTCTGTTCTCATAAAGTCCGGGGTAGTGTTTACAAACATTTTTTGATCTGACAGTTCTCCTGTCTTTACTGATTAATGCAAAATCATATTATCATTTATATCATAAATTGCAAAGCATGGTTTTAGATGCAAAGGGATAGCTTTTCTTTTTGATAGGATTTACTTACAGACCACAGTCACAGACCATGCAAAAATATAATTCAAAGGATCAAACATACAAGAACAATAGTTGGACACGAGGCTAGATGATGATCATTTTGACAGTGCTATCCTGCTGCATGTTGAGTGAACAAGCCCCAAGTGCTGTGTTCCACACTGCTATTATTTACTCCCAAGTGATATAGATGATGGATCTCCCTCAGCTAACAAAAGTTAGAGTACTCTGATAGCATTTTTTCTGTAATTCTCACTGTAATTCTTTCAGGTAGACTTTAGTTCTCCTGTAAATTCATCCTGGTGTATCATTTTGTGTTTCATAGGTAATAGAATATATATCCATATACAGTCAGAGAAATTTAGGATGCATTATTTGCGCATATCTTACATAAACCACAATGTTTGAGATCAAGTGCATACAACTTTATTTTAAACAGGATTGCTGTGAAGATAATAGCCTTCAGCAAACATAACTCAGAATTCCCTCCAGAGGAACAGCTTGCATTACTTCTCTCAACCATTCCCAAATATTCATCCTTTTCTGACCGGGTTATTTAATCTTCATACTGCAGACTTCCAGCAAAGTCACAGTGAGTCCCTCACATTCAGCTTGTGAGTTTTTCCCCTCAGAAGTCCCCTGAACTGCAACTCAGTCCTGGCCAGTATGGTAAGCTCCAAGGGAAAACTGCTATTTGGGCATTTCCACCACAGGACTCGGAAGATTTTCCCCTGCAATAGCTTCAATGCTGAAAGTGCTCCTCCTGTCAGTACTAACCAGCTCATGACAGTTCACTATCCTTCTTTTTCAAAGCTGCTAAATTTGCAAGGATATCATCACAGGGCACTGATGAGGGGTCTACCCGGGAACAATCAGACAAATTCAGAAAAAGATAATATGCTATATTACTTTAATAAACCTTTTCTGTACCTCTAATCCATCTTGCAATAAAATATATAACGCTCTTGTGCAGTAAGTATTTGCTGACTACAAAAAACCACACCCATAAGTAGGATTTTTTGTTCTGAATGCAACATCCTTTTAGCTATTCATGATTTATATAACATGAATATATGTCTAATAGTCAAACCAGAAACACAAAACCATGTTTGTGACTCTTCCTACTTCTGTGAAATTCAATGAAGTCTAAGAACAGCTTATGGAGAAAAAAAAAAAGATTTTTCTCTTGCTTTTCTTATGACCACAAGTCTCTCTAGCCCAAAAACAAGACTTAATCAATATATCATCAGGCTGTGAAAAGGTTGAGTTGAGTCAACCTGCCTTTTACTTACGCAAAAGATGAAGCGATGACTCATAAAAAAAGAGAGAAGCAATCACTCTCAGGGACACTTGAAAGAATAAGGAACAGGTTTAAACTAAGGAATATGTAGTCATCCAACAACTCTGCACATGTCATCCAACAATTCTGCACATGTTCTACACAGCGCTTACTAAACATCATGTGGGGGAAAGTATCAGTCCAGCTGACATTTAGAGAGTGATTCACAAAGAGTAGCTCTTCCTTGGGTAGGCTGGTCTCAGGAACACAGCCACAAGCCAGTGCTCCATTCTGGGAGAGTTCACAGACCTGTCTTCTGGGTCTATGAACTGTCTTTTTCATAAGTCTTCTGTTTCAGGACAGCAGCGTCTCTGAGGTAAATTTTGCCCTTGTCCACTCTGTTCACTCCGTCTATCTTGTCTGCCTGAAGCATATGTTCTGGGAAGTGGGTGCATGTGCTTAGTCTTTGAAATGGGAGCCATCGTTTTCTGGAGTACTTAGATTTTTCATTTATTTCCTTGCTATTAATTTTTAGTGATGAGTTTAATAGCCCTAGTTTACATTTTACCATAGATATACAGCAGCCAAAACAGACAGGAAAATGAAGAAAAAGTGACCTCACTGTGTTTTCTGGAAAAGGACAGTCCAATGAGGTTATGAAGGAATTTATTGTCTCTATTTCTGTCACGATTTAGCCACTGTGTGGACCTTTAAACAGGACAGTACTAGATGTGTTTTGAGGTACTTAGCAGTAGAGGCTCAGAGACTTGATTGTTTGCTAAGCACTACTCCTGAAAGAAGTCCTCCATACCTGTGGACAAGAGGTGTCCCCACTTTTAACCAAATGACTTAAAACAGACTCAGGGCTTCCACTGGTACAAAACCCCATTTACATATATATATATATATATATATATATACACACATATATATGTATGTATTATCCTTTTAACCAAACTTACAAAACATTACATTGAGGTCCTACAAGAGCACAAAAGATAAGATCTACCCAAGAGTACTGAGGGAGCTGCCAGAAGAGCTCAGTGAGACACTTTCCATCATTTGTCAGCAGTCCTGACTAACCAGGAAGGTCCCCAGTAGACTGGACATTAGCCTAGGTGACACCCCTCTACAAGAAGGATCAGAATGAGGATTTGGGGGACTACAGGCTTTTCAACATGACTGCAGTGCTAAGAAAAGTCATGAAGCAGATAACCTTGAGTGCCATCATGCGACATGTTCAGGACAACCAGCAGTCAGGCACAGCCAGCATGACTTTGTCAAGTCAGATCCTGCTTGACCAACTTCATCTCATTCTGTGACATGTTGACCCACTTAGTGGATGAGGGAAAGGCTGTGGATGTCCTCTGGCTAGACTTTAGAAGAGCTTTTGACACCGTTTCCCACAGTGTTCTCAAGGAGTGTGTCCAGAGAAGGGCAATGGAGCTGGGGAAGAGTTTGGAGCACAAGTCTCATGAGGAGCAACTGAGGGAGCTGGGGTCATTTAGCTCCAGAGAGACCTTATCACTCTCTACAGCTTTCTGAAAGAAGGTTGTAATGAGGTGGGGGTCTCATTACCTCTTCTCCCAGTAACAAGCAACTGGACAAGAGGAAATGGCCTCAAGTTGCACTAGGGCAAGTTTAGATTGGGTAGTGGGAAAAATTTCATCACCAAAAGGATGCTCATACATTGGAGGCAGGCTGCCTAGGGAAGTGGGGCAATCAGCATGCCTGGAGGTATTTAAAATATATATATGTAGATGTGGCACTGAGGCACATGGTTTAGTGGTGGACTTGGCAATGCTTAGATTTGATAATCTTAAAGGTCTTTTCCAACCTAAACAATTCTATGATTCTATGAAAACAGTCATAATAATTAGTTTCAAGGGAATTGCAAATAGCAGTGACCTTTCTGCATTCAGATCTGCGCCTGAAGACAGCACTCTAAGAGGACAAACAGAGCAAATTCAAGTGCCTAAGTCTGAACAAAAGCCCAGCAGGATTTGGCACAGCCCTGCACAGCTGCCAGCTGGAGATGCCTCACTGCCGGGAGCAGGGAGGCAGATACCGTGATAGGACCACAGGAAGGGTCTGCAGGACACAACAACCACAGGAACACATGGTAGCTTCAGGAGCTCACCCTGAGCCACAGTCATCCCAACATTTATAGTATCAAACATATGTAACACTAGCTGGGAAAAAGGATTTTTTAAAATCCTCATTTAATTGCAAGGAAGAAATTATAGTAATGCAGATGGCCTTCAAAATCTTGGAAACACAGTAAATTGGTATTAACTATCATAATGAGGTAAGAAATGTACAAAAATATCCAGAAGTTGAGTGAACACTGCACTTTGTCACAATTTATTACACTTGTTTAAAAATTCAAAGCCAAAATGAAATTACATGAATCAAATAAGAAAAACCCTCATCTCTTAAGCAAGACACGTAGCACATCAAAAGTGCTGGTTTAATTGGGGGAGACTGGAAACTGCCTGAAAAATAAAACAATGCAATTTTACAGGAAGATCGATGTAAACTACTGCACAGATTTTCTCATATCTAGTAAGTGCTGAGAGGAACTCAAAGAGGTAAAAAAATCTACCCACATCTCAGTACCCAGTTAATATACTTTTGTACTGTAACTGGGGGCTGCCTTTCTCACTGGGAGCGATGTGATAGCAGAGATTTCACTACTGAATTTTCACAAGCTGGTAGACTACACAATGCCTTGGCATGCATACAGGATCTTCCATGGAGCTATCCCAACATCCTGCTGTGATGGCAGGGATGGGTCTTTCTCACCTCTACACACCTGTTACAGTTAGGGGACAGCGAGAAAAAAAATTGATAAAGAATTCTTTTGCTTTAACAAAATCAATCTGCTTTTTTTCACATTTAAGTGATTTTTTTTTTAAATATACACACACCCACAAGCCAGCTGCTAGGAGACGAGCTAAGAGACAAGAAGGAATGTGCTTCACACAGGCTTAGAGCAGCTGTGGTTCTGCTGGTTTTGAAAGGAAAATGCACAACTGGGTCATTTTTACTGAAGTGCAAGCCTGCAAGTTCCCTTTTAAAATAGACAGCAATCAAAATGTAGCCCTTAAGGTTTCAGATGTCCTCAAGCCCACACAAGGTAAATGAAAAGGAAATAATCCTTCCATTTTGATGGTCAGATTTTACACCTCAATAATCACCAACATATTTTAATTAAAATAACACTTCCTGAGTCACATAGAAAGAGCAATTCTAGTGAATGTGTGAATATAGCAAATACAGAGGGCCTGCACTGCCACTTACACATACTGGCAGGCACTGAAAGCAAGTCAGTTGGAGCATCTCTTTTTACCCCTTCATTCCCTCTAGAATGTCATGAAGCTTCTAAACTGGAAAGAGGTCACTTTCTCCAGCAGTGGTCCTGCCCTTAGAGCACAGTAGTAGCATGGCTTGTCCCAGAAACATTTTCAATACTGGAATTATCAAGGGTATTAAACCAGTACTTAAATTTAAAAAAAAAAAATTATGAAAAAGGGAGAGAGATTGTCAGTCTAACCAACAACAGGCATATTCATGGTGATATCACCCCATCTCTCATCCTGAGATAGTCTGTGTGAGCTTTGCCACACTGTCTGAGGGCACTTCTTACAGGACAGCTGCATCTCATGGAGACCTGCTCAACAACCACGCAAGTAGAATGACAGTAGAGTTTGATTTTCAGAGTAAATGGCCAGCATTACACAGAAAGCTTGAGGCAATGTGGCAGCAGCTCTCCAGCCACAGAGAGAAACAACTTTCCCAGGCACTGTCCTGTAGAAAAGTCTGTGAGAAGATCAGAGAAAAGAATGAGAAACAATTCTTATCTTCACTTGCTACGCTTGTTGTTATAAACATGTAGCATGTATTATAGAGATTTGTTTACCAAAGAGTAGTTTCTTAATTAACCGATAGTAATAGTATTTAAATTAGTAGACCAATAAGTCCAGGTGTATTGTAACTGTCTATAAAAACAATAAATTCCTTAATAATGATCTATATAATAAAGAGATTAATCAACCTTCTGTGAATCATGAAATCACTGCTAATTATTACCTGGCCGGGGGCTCAATGTTGCAATGACAAGGCAACACCCACACTGAATTAAGATGGCATCTTCTCTTCTGCACCAGCTGCAAACAGTGACCAGAGCTGAGAGCTGGCAGGCAGAGGCTCAAAGAATTGCAGAGCACTTTCCACCACCTAAACACACAGTGATAAGTATCAGGAACATGTTTATCTACAGCTACCTTACGGAAAAAAAAAACCATAAGGTTTTGACATACTGCTTGAGGCAACCTGGCAGGGAGGATGAACAAGGAGAGAAAGGATGGGGACCTGTGTGAGACAGACCTGGGGAACACAGGCCAAGATTCCAAGAATTTCTACCACTGTCAGTCTCTAGTGCAGTTTAGTGTTAGGTCTGTTTGAGAGTCCAAACCCACAGGCCATACCTGGCTCCTTGTCTATGCATGACTTATGTCACCCATGTTAGAGGCAGTCTCTCAGCCAGCAAAATAAAACTTACCTACCAGTATGGGTTTGACTGCATTGTCCTTAAAGCACCATCAAAGCAGATGGGTTAGAAGGGCAAAATACAAAGTCTGAAGCACTGTGAATTGTGCAAGCAGAGCAAAGAGCACTGAAGGGGAGCTGAAGGCTCTGTTGAACCTGCAGTTGACCTGAGGCCATGGGAGAAATGTTCCCTCTTTGAGACAACTGGATCTTGAGCATCGCTGTTACAACCCAGTAGCTGGGCTTAAGGAAAATGAGTTTGACAAGGTAACATTTTCCCACTCATGTGGCTCTAATCCTGGTGCTGGTGATCGTTTTGGTGTTGTGTTTGAACAGGGAAGTTTAGAGGCCAAAAGCTACTTTAGATTATGTTTTCCAGCAGTCCATGCTGGCAGCTTATACTGCCCATTGCACATCCTCATTCATTTCCATTACCCACCTGAGGCAATCAGGTTCACTCATCACCCCAAAACGGTACACGAGCCTCTCAGACTTCATCAAAACTGGTGAATCAGGATGCATATCCCACAAAGCTCTCAATCCATCCTGCCCTTCTCTTTTCTCAAGAATTCCACACCTTTCTGACCCACCCTCTCATGCCAAAGAGGACTCCACAAGCTCTTCTCTTTTGCTTTTAACAAATTAAGTAGTCATTGGCACAGGTTGATATAAGTGGTGTCCCTGCAGAGCAGGGGAGAAGTTACTTCACTCAGCTGCCACAGCACACCCTCCCAACCCACCCCCCCCCTCACCCACCCCCAGTCTGGATGTAGCACCTCCAGAGTTTCTTCCTATTTTTAGGAAACCTGGAAAGAGTAAGTTCTTCTCCACCTCTCTTCCCATTCTCACTCCTACACAGTGGTGTTTAATCTCTCTCCTTCACAGCACAATCAAGCTCACTGTCTGATGTAAGTCTGGTAAAGGGTTACCAAACTGGTCAGGGAACTGGAGCTGAGCACATGCAAGGGGAGGCTGAGAGCTGGGATTGTTCAGCCTTAAGAGACTCAACAGAGGAAACAGCCTGAATCATCTCAGGGACAGATAGTGATGGGACGAGAAGCAATGGGCCCAATGAAAATCCCAATTAAACACGAAACAAATTCCTTCTCTGTAGAAATGTAAAACTTGATTAGAGAAGGCCCAGTATCATCCATCTGCTGGATTTATGTTGAGGGAAGGTTGAACTAGGTAACCCACTTCTGATTTTAACTATTCTGTGATTTTATTATTTCATTTATCACATCAAAAAACATATATTTCCAGACTCCATTGGGAAAGAGCCTAATAAAGAGCAGCAACAGAAATGGCAATGGGAGATGTAGATGCATGGTAATTGCATTTGCACTGCTGTCAGCACTGGAGCATATCTATACTAAATATAATACAACAGCAATATAAAGTCCAATTTTTGAGGTCGTGAGGAATTATGAACCAAATGATGGATTTTACTCATCATTGTGCTTCTTGATATTTCACACAGTAGGAAAAGCATGAGCCTTTAGTAAAGGCCAAGGAAAACTCATTCCTGTCCTGTAACAGTTGTGTCCTGTAAAGACATTTTCTCCCTATAATAATTTCTCTCAACAATTTTCGTTCTCTGGTGCTGTCCTTAAGGTTCACCACAACATTACTGGTGGTTTTTAGCATTTCAGATTATTAAGACAGCAACAATTTTGTAAGTCATACTTTGAAATGCACTGCTTGCGTGTAATTTGCTTACTACTTTTCTGTGGTTCATAGTAAGTTTAGAAACTGGATTGGGAAGATTTTTTATGGTTAAAAAGGCCTTCAGGAGTTATACTGATAGTAAAAGAAACTCAATAATATTAATTTTTAAATCTTTCTCTGATTTTTTGATAAAAAAAGCCTCTCAAAGAATTAACTGAAAAAATCCACGACAGTGCGATGTTAATGAACATAGCATGAAAAAGCTCCAAACATAACAAACTGGCACTGATTTTCTGCATTAATAACCTCAGTTATCTAAATGCAAGATGTTCACTTTCAAGAAAGCTGTACAGTGCCCAGTACACATGGAAGACCTTTTTTAATCTGGCACAAGTGAGACCTCAGTAAGTGGAACAGACTGGGATCCAGGGAAGAAGCAGGCAGTGGTACAGCAGGTGTTGTCAGCCTAATGGGGAACAAGGGTGTGAAAAAGGCAGCCATACTGGGTCAGAAAGCAGAGACCATCTCCAGAGAGGCATTCGCTCCTACCTGCTCGGGGTGACACCTGGCACTGGGAACAGGCAGATGCCATTTGTGCATCTTTGGATGCAGTAATCATCATTAGCAATGAACACAAAAAACACATGGTCACTTTGTTGTACAGAGTGCTGTTGGCAGCAGTCAGCTTGCAGAGACTGTGGTACAAGCCCTTGGCGCTCTGGTTCAGCTGCCTGGGCACCAGCCCTGCCTCTGTGGGCAAAGCACCAGAGCAGCTGCAAATCCTCCCTCAGGAGGAGCTGCAAATCCTGCTTTTGTTGGTGACTCTTGTACAACCACATACATCTAAGACAAAATAAGGATATATGTTGGCCACCAACGCCTATTTACGGCTTTCATTACATGGGGTGGTGGTAGCAAAACAGAGAGATGCACATATTATTTTTAACCCATCCACTGAATTTTTTTTGCATGGCGCACTGCTTATTTCCTTTATGAATCACAGCCTGCCCCAGAGACTGATTATTCACCTGTTTGATTTTTAGGAGAGGGAACCAAGTGAAAATGGCACAGAGCAGAGAACAACAGGTTGTATATTGAGAGAGAGAAAGAGGGAACTCAAGGAGAAGACATCTTAATCTTGTAGTGAAAATTTTTTAAAAGGAGAAAATAATGTATATTAGCAGGAATAAATTCCACTTATTTCCTCATAATTTCATTAGGAACTGGCATTTATACAGGATAAATGTCTTGGGTAGATCTCTATAACACTTCCTTTAATTTGCTTGCATTACATTTCTATTGCTCTGGGCTTCTCATCAACAGACACAGTGCTCAGGAAGCAAGACAACTCAAAATAATGATTTAGCAGCAACTAATTTCTATGCATACAAATAGAATCGTTCCATCAGCTTTAAATTATGAAAAAGAGGTTAGTTAAAAGCTTAGTGAATTAGTTAGTAGCTAGAGCTACGAGTAAGAAAAGCAGAAAAGTTTCTTATATCTAACTTTGTCCCAAACATTCCATCAAACAAAGGCATTTTCTTAATGATTAAAAAGCAAAATTAATGATCCATGTTATTGAGGCAATATAAGCTTCTGAACAGAGACTGTTAATAGCTTCCCTGAGCTGCTCGACCCACAGCCTCTCACAGCACTTGCCAAGCATCAACTGCCACAGGTCCCCTACCGCAAATCCATCACACCCTCTGGGAAAAGAACCGCTGCCTCCCGCAGTCCTGAACACAATCCTGCTAATAATGTGGAATGCGGAGATGGTGGCTGGGTATGCGGGAAGCATGCAGGGCAGTTTTGGGAGGCCTGGGCTGCCCAGCTCCCTGGGCAGAGCCCAGCAGGACAAGGGGCTGGCACAGGCACATAGCAGACAGCCCTGGGAAAGCACCTGCCATCCCAGTCCTCGGTGCAACAGGCTCCTTCCACAGCTCCCAGTGAGACAAGGCACGATGTGTTGGGCATTCCTGAGAGGCAGTGCTGCCCAGAGGAAAAGCAGGAGTGCTGGCACTGCCGAGGGCTAATCCTTCACTTTTCTTTCAACAAGTCGTTTATTGCCCCCTAAATATGGCTTATTTTGTGAAACTCTTTGAGGCCCTTTGGAAAAAGGGGGTCTGTGAGAACTAGATACTCGGCAATTTCAATCCTATTTAGAAGGGAACAAGATTCCTTCCAGATTCCTCACATCACTGTGTGCCTTGAATACTGATGTGCAGCCTCTCATGCTGCTTTGCTCAAAGGCTTGAGTAAGCAAACAGCAACAGAACAAGGAAGCGCTTTACTCACGAGAGAGAATATGGTGACAAAGTATCATCCTCATGACAGCAGGAGTGTGGTGGCCTTTTAATCTCACTGGCTTTCTCTGAAATGCTGTCGCCTTTTTTACCTGCAGGCACTTGGCACAGTGAGGAAAAGCATCACGTGGAAGAAAAACACTTGGAATGATATTGCATCTATTCTTCTCACTGAGCTACAAGAACTACATGATCTAGTTGTCCCTGCTAATATCAGGGGGTTTGGACTAGATGACCTTTAAAGGTCCCTTCCAACCCAAACTATTCCATGATTCTATTTATACAGATTATGACCTTTTCCTAGCACTGTTTGCCGCAGTAAAACAGATGGTGCACAGTTTCATTCTGATCCAGCACTTTGACCCATCTTTTTGACATGCCAAAAAAGGAGACTAAAGTGTGGTTCTGAATACACCAAAAGTTTGAGGTGTTGCCATCCTCAGAAAATAAAAGAAAGAGCATTTGCATAAGGATGCATCTTTCAGGTCCCTGTAAGTACAATCAACAAGGGACAATTTTGAAATCCCATTTTTTGAAAACATTCTTTTTCTCCTTTAACTAATTCTTCTGTACAAGTTGATAATTTGACTGCAAGTGATTTCCAGGATAAACAAAAAATATAATGTGAGAAGCAGCTGAGAAGATTAGCCTCTCATTGAATCCCATTGTATTTCTGCTGAAGTCCTATGACTTCTTATGCACTTTAACATATTTTATGACATATTATATTTCTGAGTTCCCCATTACACTTGGCATTCCAAGATATCTTTGTACAATATACATAGAATAAATGGCAAAAGATTGCTGAGAAAAAGAAATATAATTCAATAATTGTTTCAAAATTGTTGTAATTTCAAGCTATAAAGATAGATGTGGATAAATTTTCAGGAGTGTTAGGAGTGAGAGGTAAAACTGGAAGCAAAATGTTTGCTTAAATTTTCCCACATTAGTACTTCCATCCTCCCTACTATACACAAATGACAGAGGAGGTTCCTAGTGAGACAGTGTTGAAGCAACAAATTGCTGCTCTGCCATGGTCAAAATAAAATCATATAAAACCATATCTGGTTTCCCTAATTACTGGAAAGGAAATTACTAAGTTCTGAGTGCAGTTCAGAGACTGATGAAGCGTCCTGCCTACAAACTGTAATTTTGTTGAAAACACTATGTTCTTTGGGTAAATCTGCTAGATGAACTACCCATTTTGGGTGACATAGGAAAACCTTCTTTTTTGATTTCCCAACTGAATAAAATGTGAAGACAGACATAAACAGCCTCTGAGGCACACATTGCCTTAAAATTTAAAAAAGTGGTGTTATCACTAGCTGAGAAATTAATTTCACATTTTCAAACAGAGATGTATCTGCCTCTGTATGGTCACATTAAATGAGAAATTTATTTTAGAATCAGCTCCATAACTCCACTAACACTTTCAAGGCATGTTGCAAATGTAATAATCTGCAATAACAAGACTATTTAAGTCATGTAACTGCATAATTAGGGTCTCTTTTGGTTCATCATTACAAGAGACTAACTGAAATTAAAACATGACTTGATTTTTATCTACTTTTTCTACTTTGTCACCTGACATTTCTTGGTAACTATTAATAGGACAGATAATAAAAAGAAAATATTGTGTTCCTCTCTTCAGTAATAGCCACTGCTAATTTCCATTACAAGTTGTTTTCCTCAGGCTTTAGAAAAAAAAATTGCAATGACAATAAGCATTTTATTTCTGTGAACAGCAAAACCTTGACTTTATGGCTAATAATAAACAAGTAAATATTTTCCTTTAGCAAGGAAAAATTGAAACATGTCAAAACAACATTAGAGTGAAATCTGACCATTAACACTGATGAAGAGCGGAAAGTTTTTCCATAATAGAACAGCAGCAAATTATCCAGACGTGGGAAAAATGCTGAAGTTGTTTACAGGCACTTGTGTACATAGTGAATGAATAAAAGATGTTTTGGCATTAAATATGAATCCAAAACCAGAAAATTAAGGCAAGAATCTTGAAAGCAAGTCATTAGTGGCTGATGTCTGAGATCACACACCTGAGATCGCAGAGGAAAAGTAGATCTTCTGTTAAAGCATTGTGCAGCAGGAAGACTATGACATAGTTGCCATCATGAAAATATGATGGCATGAACTTGTACAACTGGAGTACTGCAATGGATGGGTAGATCTTTAATCAGACCTGTCTTTTCCTCCCCACATCCCAGGCAACCCCCTCTGTGTCTGTGTCATCTGAGTTCAATGACACAGACACAGAGGCATCCACTGCTCATGCTCCCATCCCCAGCCTCTCCTGGTCCCACAGGCCAGAGCATGTGTGGATTACAAGCAATAGTGGAAGATGAGACAGCTAAAGGTACTGGAGGGAGCAATTACATCCTACATGATTTAAACATAGTTTCACTGGTTTGGCCTTTCCTAATATTTGAAGAAAGAGGTGACATCATTTCTCACATCACTTTCTGATGTGTAAGACCTATTCTCTGGTGCGTGGTGTGTGACAAAATAAAGAGGAAAAGCCCAGGTGATGCACAGCCAGCACAGGAACACTGAGATACAATGCCACACAAGAGGATATGTAATATTCAGAGCAGTAATTGAGGCTGTGGATGAGCTGTATCCAGGCCCCCTGGCAAACTATTGTTTACTCTGTACACCCCAGAGCCCATTATGCCAGGCAACAGAAGAAGGATAACCATTATCTTTATTGCTAGAATTGCAGTGTAGAAAAATATCATTAATAAGACTAGGAGTTTTACCTGTCCATCTCTCCCTACTGCCTTTCTGTGACTCCTCCATGCCTACTGAAGTTGCACTCACACACATACACTGAGCCAATGTGGGAACAAAACTTATTTTAAACAAAGAGAAAACTGTTATGTATCAAAATTTTGAAAAGCTACACAGGAAAAACTGGAGATACAACCTTACTTTTGCCGGTGGCTTCACCACTAACTTTGTTCTAATTCTCAGCCTATATACTGCTTATGTGTAAGGTTCTATATTGACATCTGGTTTTAATACAGGGCTTTCCACCACTAACATTCCTGCTGGTATTGCTAACTCTGTTTTCAAACACGGAGACTGAAACCTATCTCTGTCCCAGTTATCTGCTTCATTCCTTTCTTGGAGGTCCCCAACCTGCTGCATAGTTTAGCTGCTGCAGTGTGGACAGCACATATTCCAGCCCCACAGCTGCCTGGGCACCAGCACAGTTTCTGAAACAGCTCCTGGCAGATGTAATTTCATTTTACAGACTGGCAGTTTAGATCAGTGCCAATTGTCTCAGTACCTGTGAACTATGGCTGTTGAGCAGCTGCTAGACAAGTAGCAGCAGGGAGAATCAGAAGGGACAGGATGGGCTGCCAGGGACAGAATCCACTACAGACATCTCTGCTTAGGATCCCTGTAGGCTAACTGTCAAGCAGGAATCATGAGGAGCATTGGTCAACAGAAAGCAGCAAATGCTCCCCTCAGGTGGAGATTGCCAGGCACCTCACTTCTAGTCACATCAGGGCATATGGTGGCCCAAACCTGGCCATCAGTCTTCCAGTAAGGCTATAAGATTGAAAGACTTCCAGCAAGAGCAAAAAGAGAGACACAGTCTCTTGCAACAAGCACTGGTTCAAAAGCAGGCTAACATGGTCAACTCTGCTTTCAATTTGAGTGTTAGCAATAGCAGTAAGTGGACAGTGACTGTGCTTTAATTATAAGAAAAGACCAGTAAGCTCTTCTCTGTTTAAATACATCCCCTACACCATGAACAGCTTTACTTTAACAGAAAGCACATTAGATCCTCAATGGAAACACAGCAGAGCTTGGACTGTGGGAACACAGCTGCTAAGCAACCTTACCAACATCCTGTCTATTCCTGCACTGTAGCTGTGAATAATTACTCCTCCATGTAACCCTTGCCTTTCTGTCACTGCTGTTCCACAGCTGAATACTCTTGAAACCGCAAATGGGCACAAACCAAACTCCCAGAGCTAAAATTGTTCTCATATTTAAGGAAATCTGGCAGGAAATACAAGCAGGTGTCTGCCCTCTCTCGCTACAACTGGATGACGTGGAGACCTAAATATAAACAATCAAAACTTTCAAGGTTGTTTTTCTGTTTCCGATTCTGTGGTTCAAGCTGATCTATACTCATTTTCTTACTCTGATCTCTGCTGATAGTGGCAACTTTAAAAACTAGCCCATAAACCAAACAATTTTACAAGACTTTAAAAAAATACTCTCAAAATACTGATTGAAATGAAGCCATTTTACTGCATTCACTGATTACTCTGTCCACTCTTCCTGAATGTCAAGCTAGTGCTGCATTGTAGGAAGAGAAGATTTTATTTCACAACTGAAAGAAAGAAACCCAACCAACACAGTGTTTGGGGTAAAAGAATGAAGCACTGCCTCCTTGGCACATCTCCATGTCAACAAAAGAAATGAGCATTGCCCAACTTTACCTTGTTGTTTGGGAGGCTGCCCAGAGATTTACTTCCAAAGGATTCTGGTCTATTTAAACTCCCCAGATTAGAGACTGCACAAATTTTGACAACCAGAATTCAATAGAAAGTCTGAAGACTGCTGACCACGCTTCAGAAGTACTGAGAAAGCTGTTTGCTTTGAATAGTAAATCTTCAGCACTACAATATTAGCACATAGTAAAGTTACATCCCTGAGAATGCAAAATTTAATCTGTCACTGGGATATTGCATCTGTAGTAAATACAACATCATACTATTGGATTGGATAGTTATATTAATAATATTATGTTACAAAGATTAAAAATATAATATTGTAGGAGATAATATTTATAAAAATTAATGTCTAGAACTGACTGTCCTGTGGCATGATGAGGTAGTTGGGAGATACCTTTACTCTGCAGAGTTTTACCCATAAGAAATATTATTCCAGATCTTAGAAATTACAATCTCAAGACAATGATTGCCCATCTTTTCTAAGTATGTTGGACAGACAATTTTCCATGGTGACTAGGGGTTCCAATATACTGCAGTTTAGCCCAGTAATAACAACTTTGATTTTCCTCCAAACCTGTCACACAG